GGGGGCATGAATCAATATGAGATGTATTTTTTTTTGTCTCAATGTTTGAGATGGAATACCGGATTTGTATGAATGAAGAAGAGGGAAGAAACTGGGTCGAAGGGGGTCTGGAGCATTCGGAGAGGACGAGAATGTTCGCGGGGGGCGGGAGGGGGGGAGGGAAAAGGGGTTATAGGGATGTGGCACCTGTTCTAGTTGCATAAACTTGGTAAAAAGCGTAATCGTTGGAAAAATGCTGATGATAGTGTGAGAAGGGGAGGTGCGATCGTGCCAGGGGAACATTGAGGGCTGACCTTGAACGGGCGAATCTTTTTTTTTTTTTTTTTTTTTTNTTTTTTTTTTTTGGGAATAAAATTATTTTCGTTTTAGCTGGGGGTTTAGTCATCGCGGTTTTGTTTGTTTATGCTTTGTGAAGTCATCGCGTGCCATGTCTGCAAGAAACCGCGACGTTGGGTGAGCGCTATCGATTCTCATATTTCCGGAATGGGAATCGTGACATGTAGGATGTAAACAAACATGGCGAGGGATTTGGACGGTGTTATTTTTTTTTTTTTTGGTAATTAAGTTGATCATTAAAGACTCATAATTTCTCGATTTACGATCGAAAAATCAGAGAAAAGAAGTGAGAAAGTCCAATTTTTCCGGCGTTTCGAACAACAAAGTGCTCTTCATCGGGGAATAATTTGCTCTTATTGTTAATCCATTAGTTGTTTAAGGGTTTAGGCGGAATACATTTTGATGAATCAAGAAAAAAAAAATATGGGGGAACAGTAAACAGACACCTGTCAGTGCCCTTCGTAATAACAGTTATGAAGAAATAATTTTGAAGCAATTAACTTGATATTTTGTGGATTGACTCACCGAGTTCCATCGGGTACAACCAGCTGTTGATGTCGAGGATGAGGTCCATCTTGAAGGACTCGGACTCGCAGTGCAACCGGCTGACTGTAAATAAAATAAACTAAGAATTAATAAACGTCGGGAGATTATTCTTTCGGAAAACCGTTGATCTTTCGGTCTCTGGGGTTTTATTTCATCGTGACTAGCACAGGAAAGCTCAATTCAGACGGATAAACCCGTCCTCACCCACGCATTCTGATGATGCAATTGGTTTTTATATCACATTTTCGCGGGTGATTCCTTCGGCATTTAATTGGAGACTAAATTGAGACGGAAAGACGTTAATTGAGGCAGTTTCGTCCCCCTTTCAAGACTTTTCGGACGAACGTCTTGAAAAATGAGGAAAAAAAGTGTCGTAATTCAAGGTAATAGTCCGTATAAAATTCTTATCTAGTAAACAAACAGAAATGCAACGTCTGAGAGCCTCTTCGGAGCAGCCATATGTCGCGACAATGACCTTGGATTTTCGCAACGCAGCAGCGTCCTAGCACTCACCCATTGACAGCCATCGCTTCCCCTCGTTCCAGAGTAAAAATATTCTACTGGAGATTATTCGGTGAAAAAACTCCCCCAGAGCACTTGCCACGGAAAAACCCTCAAAATATGAACGAGAACTGAACGAAACGGCACCGAGGGAGGTTCACAGCTGCCTCGAGAGCCGTCGAGAGTCCTTTCCTCGGGACCCAGTCCTATCCCCACCCCTATTTCCAGTTATTCCCTCACCTACGCACTCCCGCCTGCTTCCACCCTCCGGGCGGACGGGCACGCGCACCTCATATCCCTCAACTTACACGATGGCCTCAGAACCTAATGCACTTAGTTCCACCATCACCGGCTTAATTCGCTCCTGCACGTGACTTATTCCAAATATTTTTCCGTATTTATCGAGGAACAATGATATGATAGAAATTAACAGTAGGATCTACACTGACAGAATAAATTATCATTTTGTTGCTGATTTTCAAATAAACATGATTTCATAGTGAATACGAGTTATCTCTTCTTGAGATACAGTTGATAGGGAGAAATCCAACTTCTCTAGAATTGAAGTTCCTTTTATTTGTCGCAATAATGAGAGTATTTGATTTCTTTCTAGCCAAAAGTTTGCCAACTCCAGAAATTCGTTGGTTAACTCAAAAATCAAAATTATTCTCATGACTAAATACGTTGTTATCTCAATCAACACGATCATACGTTGTTCCAAGTAAATTATAATTGAAGTGAGCATTTCGTATGTCGAATCAGGATGAATATTGTTACGCGGAAAAAGCTTTGAGATTGTAGTAAGATGTCGTTGAGTTGAAAGAAGTTTATATTTCTTGACTTAAAAAAATTGCATTAGTTTACAATAACATAATCACAGATTACGGCAATTCAACACAAACTTGGATGTCACAAATTTCGTTCAATGTTATGTACGGAGAGCTNTAAGATGTCGTTGAGTTGAAAGAAGTTTATATTTCTTGACTTAAAAAAATTGCATTAGTTTACAATAACATAATCACAGATTACGGCAATTCAACACAAACTTGGATGTCACAAATTTCGTTCAATGTTATGTACGGAGAGCTCAATTCAGTAGCGAAGCGGTAAAACGGGTTAAGTCGATTTTGACTTATGGTCGGTTTTTGATTAATATCTCGAAATCTGAAAGAGCTAGCAAAATTTTTCTCATGACCTTTTTTGGAGGGCCAATTGAGGGTTATAAAAAAGGTTATGACAGAAATTGTTCTATCTTNTCGAAATCTGAAAGAGCTAGCAAAATTTTTCTCATGACCTTTTTTGGAGGGCCAATTGAGGGTTATAAAAAAGGTCATGACAGAAATTGTTCTATCTTTTTTAGATTCCGAGATATTCGTCAAAAACTGGGCAATAGTCAAAATCGACTTAATCCGGTTTACCGCTTCGCTACTGAATTTAAACATCGGCTTCATTCGAGAAAACAGGATCAATTCATTCCTCAATGTAACCATCTCCTAAGTACGAATTTTTGATCAATTCATGAAAGTAGAAAATTTCTCAACTGAAGTGGTGAATACATGTGACTTGACGCCAAGGACTGTTTTATTTGATTCAAATAAATGTATCTCAAGAAGAAATAATTGAGACTCACCGTAAGACCTTATTTATTTGAGATCTGTTCAAGTATATAATACCTGTTCCAAGAAAGGAACATCTCAATAAAAACAATTTTTTCCATCAGTGTAGGGAAAGTTTTATTCACTTAAATGAAATATTCAACTGAAATTATTATCATAATAAAATTGCCCTCATTTTTCCTGGAAATGTTTGCCTCGTTTATTGTTTTCCATTTTTATTTTGTCTTGTTGTCTTCTTCCTTTTCGTTTCAAGGAAATATTAATTGCGAGGCGAAGGGATGTGAGAAATCTAATATTCGGCGAGCCTGAGGGGCTGAGGGAGTGGGGGAATTGCGCGCATGGGGTTTTATCAACTGCGCAATGACGCCTGCCCCGTTATCGACCGGCCGGCTGGGGCTCTATAAATACTGGGCACCGGGGGCCCTCGCTTCAGCCACCCACCGCCCGTACAGTTTCATCCCCTCACCGATATTATATGGCTTGCCCGCCTACGCTTTAAACTGGGAGGGTGTGTGTGTTTGTGGGGGGGGTTGCTGTATTTGGCTCGGCTATTCTCCCACCCGGACGCGCCACTGCCAGGGGTGCAAAACCTTGACCTTCAAAAATATGGGGGGAGGGGGGAGATGCGCGCTGGAATGGGGAGGGGGTTGAGCCCAACCTTCGTTACGGCAACTTTACTGTTTTCGTTTGTTATCGGGGGAGGCGATGAGCTGGAGATCTGGGGTTTCGATTGATTTTTATTGGAGGGGGGTTTCCAGGGGGGGGGGGG